GGAGAGAAGGTGTATGTGCTACCGAATGAAGTTGTATTTTGAGAGAGGGGGGGAAGGGAGGAGCTGTCTTAGCTTGTGGCTAGAGACGGGGGAAGTAGTTGAATTCGGATATAAGCGCTACCCATTTCCCGGATGATGATTGTTTTGCTTTGTTTTTATTTTGTATGACACATCCAACACTCGAGAGAGAGAGAGAGAGAGAGTAAGTCTAAGCACACAAAGTTTATATAGCAAGCATTACCAAAATAAAATAAAATATTCACACCTGGAATAACTTCTTTCTTCTTTAATTTCCCATAAAACCAAAGCATGACACATAGATCACTATACAAGGGTAGACGATTTGATAAAGAAGGCACGTTGTCAGCCTCATCATCGCGAGCCACATCCGCCGTCGGTACCCCCATCCGCTCCGATGACTCTGACTACGAAAGTGATCACGATGAAGGCGAGTTGTTGAAAATTGAAGAGATTTTGCGCGACAAACTCACCAATTTGAGTCAACAGGAGATGGGAGAGATGGCTAAAGAAGATCGAATAAGTGCTGGGGATAGACGTCAATACGAGGCTCACCAGTTGAATAATAAACGGATCCAGGAAAATTCAAGCATTAATGATATTATCAAGTCGCTTACTTTTTCACGTACTGATATAAGTTCAAGATCAAGAGAGTTGTTGTTGGCTCAGCTCTATAAAGTTGTTGTGTCGAGGCCCTTGGTGGTTTACAACGAGGAGAATGTGGGTAACCGTTTGAATTATGTTGATGAAGATACTGTTAATACTTTGATTGGACAGTTTACAAATGGCAATTATCGAAGGGCTGTGGAGTTTCAATATCTTTATCGGTCATTGATTGCTTTGATTTGCAGTGATATTGATGAGTTTGGCGCCTTGATTAGTAATGACGACTTGTTGACCAAGATTGAACATTTGATTGCTGAACCCACCAATAGTATTGTTACTGCCGAAAATAAATCAAGTGTTATCTTAGGGTATACTGCATTGACTGTGGTGTTGCATAATGGATCGTCAAGTTTTGGAGTTGACGATAAGGTGAATATGTTGATGGAAGTAGCTGAAGGGTATAGCGCTAGTGCATTGGCGTTGCAAAAGGAAGTGGAACAAGGTGACAGAGAACATTCTACATTTATAACTGATAAAAACTTGGATAAAAAGTTGGTCAATGAAGCCAACGCTAAAGTTGTCGCTGAGGCTTCGGTTGCAGTTGCTGCTTTGCATGGTGTTGGGTGCTTGTTGACCTTGTTGCGTCGCGGTGAGTACTTGAATGAGATATCCGAGGATTTGATGATCAAATTGGTACCACTTTTGGATAATGATGAGAATAGAGATATAGCCAAAGCGGCAGGGCGAACAATTGCAATCATTTATGAGTTGTACGATTATGGGACTGGTGGAGCTAATGATGGCGCCGAGGAAGAGGGTGAGGATGAGGATTATAATTTGAACTCGCCGTATTATGAACAAGAATCGTTGATTTCCATCTTGACTAGACTACTAAACTTGTCTTCCAAAAAAGTGTCAAAGAAGGATAAGAAGGAGATTAGTTCAGTGTTTAGAAACATCATCAACACTATTGAAACATATACTGATGGTCACAAGAGAGATCAAGTTTATAAAAAAACAGAAGAAGGGATTGAGTTGCTCAATACTTGTATTGACTCGATAAATATCAAATTGTCAAAGTACAAGCAATTGAAAATCAATTCATGGTATCTTGCCTCCAGACTAAGACATTTGAAGTGGTGTTTTAGCTTTGGGTTGCATAGCCAGCTAGTTGCCAATGAGTCTATAAGGGATGTGTTGAAGGAACCCGACAACGAGTATTCTTATGGTAGTCATGGAGTTGAGATTGATGATATTGAGGATCGTGAATTGTTACACGAGTATGTGAGTCAAAAGCATTCCACTGATGAGAAACTGAGACATGAACGAAGAAAGAAGGAAAGAATGGCCAAGATTGATGATCAATTGGACGGATTGAACTTGAATACGTAGTAAGGGATGAAAAAATATGTAGTTGTTTGGAAATATATGAACAATCACGTGCACAAAAGAAAACCTTCGTATGCACACAAAAGTAAACTCTCAAGGAAGTCGTGTAAAAGAGTACAAGTATGACATCATATATGTTGCAAACAGTTCAATTATGTTGTATTATCCGTTGAAAAAAGTGTTTAAGTAATGGTACATACTATAGCAAAGAAAAAGAGTAAAAGTTGTTAGTAATATACAGAGAGATGAGATGAAAGTCCGTAGCTGTTGGAAGGGTGAGCTTTTGGATAAGTATAAAGATATTCCTGTCAGGAGTTTTAATTTTTTTTTAATTATTATATCAATTTTTTTTCCGAGCGATGTCCAAATATATGAACTGATTAGAGTTCGTATGTGTGCAACAGAGATTATACGTAAATATCTAAGGGCAAAGCCGGGCGTGAGGGCCAGCTTCACCCGTGTAGTATATAGACTACTATTACCCTACCCTTTCAAGTTAGTTAAGATCCTTATCCCATACAAATCTCTATTGTTACTGACAAAAGAACAATAGTATTATTGTATTGTATACTGTATACTATATTGTACTATTATTCAACTCAACAGAGACACAGAGAAAGAGACAGAGAGAGAGAGAGAGAGAAAAAAAAATGTGTCGTCGTGATTTCTTCTCTTTCAACTAACCATTTAAGTAAAACATTGACTAGTTTTACCATAGCTATCGCCACATAACGCCTACCTTTTATTTTTTTTGTTTGCAGAGAGATAACCTATTGCCAAAGGAGAACGATCACACTCAATAACTACAGCACACACACACGTCATAGCATAGCCTACATCTTATCATCATCCTTCTTTTGCATTTTCAAGTGTTTCTTTCAAAACAAGTAGAATGCTAGAACAGTTGCATCACTGAAATTGACCACAGACACACACTTACATCATAAATGACAGAGTTATACTTTCTACGTCACGGAGAACGAATAGACCATGCTTTACAAAGGGATCCACAAGCCAAACCGATAATAGAGGACTACCACCCATATGATCCTTCATTGTCCACCACTGCTATCCCTCAATTACAGCAAGTTGTACAAGACATTTGCTCCACTACCGAAGCATTTCAAGATAAAGAGTCCTCGTCACTACGAAAGAATGTATATATCCATTTCAGTCCTTATTTGAGGTGCTGTCAAACTGCCGATATCTTGATTACTGATTTGAAAGCCAAATTTGCTGAACAGTTTCCCAATTACAAAGTAAGGTTTCAGCTACTTGGAGACTTTGCATTAAGTGAATGGATTCATGATAAAATGACAAATAAACCCCCCTTTGTGGACTCAAATGACGCGTATAATATGTACACACCAAATTTGAAGACCCTAAAGAATAAGAATGCCTGTTCCAATTTCAGACCCACTGTTACCTTGGGACAATATAATGGGCCTGGTCTTACTTATAAAGAGTACCAAGCACGATGCAAGGAGTATTTTCAAAAGTTGTTGGCTACTTATGATAAACCCGCGTATATTAAAAACAAGGATATTATCATTGTGGTTTCGCATGGGTATCTTATAAACAATTTAATGTCCTATTTCATAAACCACCCTATTTTTGAAGAGATTCCCGAAGCCAGAATTAATCTTGCGAGGAGATTGAAGAAGGAGGAGAAAGAGGAGGTACTGCTGGGTGATGAAAATGATCCGAAAAACTACTATTGGAAACTTGTAAAGGATGCACTTGGAATTGCCAGAGAAGATCTTGACACTAGTTTGAATCTTGAAACCGATATTGTCTATTATAAAACTAACTTTATCAAAAAGGATGATCTTATCGACAAGCCAAAGGAGGCAGACATCAAGGATGAGTACAAACCAAGAGCCTCGTTCAAGATTGAGTCCACTTCGGCGTCAAGAAGTGTTAATGGTTTGCCTCCTGCAAGACACAACTATCTTTGTCCAGCAGCAAAGGATTGGGTACCCGATCAGAAACATTTCCAAATCAGATCCGAGTTTAAAGAGAAAATGATGAATTGTGACGCTTTTAAAAAGGATTTTACAATAACGAATCCACCCTCGAGACGAGTTAGCCCTGACGTTTCTCCAAATTCGGCACCTACCAAAAACAACTCTGTTATTGATTTATCAAAAATTTTGAGTAATGAGTCCGTACAACCAATAAAGTTGAAATACTCCAATACATCAGAAATCCCAATTCACCGACTCAACTCGAGGGTCAACTCACAGGTCAATTTGCAACTGTATAATCGTCCCACATCGTCAGCAGAAAACTCATCCACTGATCTTCCCAAGTACGTTTCATCACAACTCAGAAGCAGATCAAGTTCCAACCCTTCGGTATACGTTGCCCATCATACCAAGGACTCCTATTTTCCTCAAGTCATAAACCGTGCTAAATCCAATGAATCAGATATGTCCGTTGACTCCTTCAGTGACCAAGGTGTTGATGAGTTGGATATTATCAAGGAACATAATGAACCACCGATGTCTGCGGCGGCAGCAGCAGCGGCAGCAGCATCAGCAAACCGTTTCTCGCCGATTGAAACTTTGAATCGAGCTCGATCATTAAACAAAAAGAGAATCAATAACCCCTTGTTGATGTCTTACCAGCAAAAGAAGTCGCAAAATCAACTACCACAAAGCTTTACCATGCAATCTGACTCGTTTAATAATAGTAATGATGAGAGCAGTGATGGTGAATATGAAGATTCGGGACTGGGATCCGGCTCGGGTTCGGGTTCCAATTCGAGATCGGGGTCGAGATCGGAATCGGATGAAGAGATGGATAGTGAAAAACACTTTTCATTGTCGTTCAAGAATAATCAAGACAAAAAGCCTGTTGTTGCGAAGAAGAGACTGAGAAAGAATTCAATGGAGTTTTATTCAACACCAGCAAGTGAGGTGAAACAGCGGGACATGAATGCCACTACTGCTCCCAAACCGACGACACTGAGACCATTTTTCTACAATTTTGAAACTGATGGCGATGACAGTGACTCTGATGGTGAGCCTTCCAAGGACAACGATTCAAGCAGTAATGATAGGTTTTGGTTTGGCAAAAATAGATAGAATTTATATAAATAGCATAAATTTTTTAATTTTTAAATAGAGGAAGTGGTTATTCGCAATAGCGATAATCTAAGGAAATTTCAATCCATTGTGGGTAATATATATAATTTGTATAAATCACTCTTTCTTTCTCTCTCTCTCTCTCTAAGCCTTTGCTATCCTTCTTCTCTTGGCCAATGCCAAAAGATACAAAAACAACAAATCAATCTGATCTTTAAACATAAACAACAACCCTTGAACGAAAACACCCTTCAACAATTGTGGACCAATACCCTTATACAAACCTCTAAACTTCTCAGTCTTCCACAAATGAGCCAATGCATGAGTGAAATGATCAAATTTGATATCCTCTTCTTCATCTTCATGCTCACCGAATTTATTCTTGTTGTGATCCTTTGGTTTCTTAGCCTTTTGCAATAATGCCTTAGCGACAATCAATGGCTGGGTTGCAACAGTTGCCAAACATTTAGCCAAGACACCCAAACTGAAAGATTCCAATGGGTTCAAAATGAGCTTGGTTGGGTAGATAATCAGCTTCAATCTTTCAAAAGATCCGTACGTAATAGATGGGTTTATGCACAAAACCAAACTGACTCTTAACCCTCTCCATAACCCAGTGATACCATCTTGGTTAACAATATCACGAACCAACACCGGCAACGACCTATGGTGACTATCAGTTTGCTGCATGGTTGTAACTACACCAATAGGCATGGTGAAACATTGACTTATGGCGGCAGCAATTGCTCCAAGGGCAAGTTCCGTAGCCGTGGTTGGTTTATGATTTGGTTGATGTTTCTTCAAGTTTTCGTAAACCTTCTTCACAACTGAATACCAATAGAAAAAACTCAAGTTTTGAGTGAAGGAACCAACAATGGTGGAAAGAAGACCCTTGTACCAACCCAACACTCCCTTCTCTTTGTAGATCTTGCTCAACACATCGAGCGTGTTCTTGTATTTGACATCTTGTTTGTTGTTGCCGTTGGTTGTGTGAACTTGAGTCTGGATGATGGTTTTGGAAAGGTCGACAGGATAGATGATGGTGTTGGCTATGGCGGATGCCAAGGCTCCAGAAGCTGCCTTTTCAATAGGACTGAGACTCATTTCTACGGTGTGTGTAGTTGACTTGAGCTGGGGAAGAGTTGGAGTAAAAGAAAACTGTATTACCTTGAAAAGTAATTTGAATGAAATTGGTCAATCAAACAATCGCAATCTGCATTGGCGGATATAAACCCGTACGAGAAAAAAAAAAAGAATAACCCCAAAAGAAAAAGAACAGTGACAAACGCCAGAAACAACAACAACAACAACAACAACAGAAAATAAAATGGGTAACTGTCAAAGACTCCACAATTTACAATTCTCCAACCATCTTTTCACCCCATTTGCTCAATTCCTTCCACAAACTGAAACGAAGAAGTGTTAAGAAAGAACCACTGTTTATAGGAAAACTAAACTCTATAGTTGATCACTGTCTCTCACTGTATCTTTACCTGTGAAAAAACAATTTATAGTGTGTGTATGTGTGTGTGTGTGTAGATTTACTCCCGACAACTTCTTTTGTGTTCCTCTGATCCTTTGCCGAGGGTAAAAAAAAAAATCTAAGCGCGAAAAGAAAGACAAAAAAAAACCCCACATTTTATTTTATCCCACAAGGAATCACGTGCAACCACAACGTACTGATTACAGTCTATTCAAGAAAAGTAACGAACATGATAACAGAACGCGATGGTTGTGTTCACCTGCTGAGGTTTAGAGCACACTGACAGCTCTATATCTA